TTTTTGTTTTAGGTGGGTCACGATCGTAGCCACCTCCACGTGGTGTGACCCGGTAATCGATATCGTTTTCTAAACATTTATCATACGATAATTTTTAGAAAACGATATCGAGCTGAGAGCTACGATTCGGTTAACATAAAGTAGTAAAATCAATTTTTCGAGCATACATACCAAGATATGCGATTTATTCATCGAGTTCTTTATTTTTTCGAAACGATCCCTCGATCCTTCAACTCCTTGTTTAGTTCCATAATCACCGTCCTGAATCATAGAGTGCGCCACAAACTGACTAACAAGAATGAGGTTCGAAGCAATCTGCTATTACCATCAAGGTGCATGAGATTGTCTAGTGGGAGGTGTTTCATATTTTTATACTAAGATAGAGTACATGGTGCTCGTTTTCGAGCTACAAATTCACTCTTTGTACATAGATCCATAGTTATTGCTTCTCGTAACAACAAACTTGCAACATTCACAATTAAAATGTTACTAATTTTCGTTGGGCACACAAGAGTCGGCTGCGTTGGGCACCTTGACTATAACATTTATTAATTTATTAATATAAATGAAATTTATTAATAACTCGGACTTCAGCTGAATTAACAACGTGCTATAATCACTGCTAATTACTAAGTCATTGATAGTTTTCGCTCAATAGGAATTATTTTCTTATTATGTTTCATTTACTGTTTAATACGACTGAAGTTGCCGGACAATGTCAACAGCGGTAATTAGAAGTTTTATAACCCTTTTTTGCAAGTTACGTTTAAAACATTATGAAAAAGTGTAAAACGATATGAATTGTTGTACTTGTCGAATATGATTTTACAATATGTAAGCTAAGAATACAGTTATTTTTCGTTTTATTTATGACAGTATTTTATAGACGTATTAAACAGTTTATAATCTTTTAGAAATAGGAATCCGGAATCATGTTGTATTTTCTTTATTACATTAATTTTATTACAAACAGAAGTAACATTTCGAGAATAAATTTGTATAAATCAAAACATTATCAATTATTTCTCGCAAGGTTCAAAAGTTCTGTTAAGGTGATGAAAGTTCTTAATGTTGCGGAAAAAAATGATGCCGCGAAAAATATCGCCGGCTATTTATCCAAGGGTACTTCTAATCGGGTAACTTAAAAATTATTACGATCAAAATGCAAAAATTTTTATCTACAAATGTTACTTAATATTTTTCTATTTTATAGAGAGAAGGATTATCCCCATATAATAAAATTTACGAATTTAATTCACATTTGTGGAATCAGAATTGCGATATGATCATGACTTCTGTGTCTGGTCATTTGTTGGGTTTTGAATTTGTTGGTACATATCGTAAATGGCAGGGTTGTCATCCGTTAAGTTTATTTGATGCACCTGTAGTAAAACAGTGCGTAGATGATACTTATATCAAGATTAAAAAGACTATAGAGAGAGAAGTACGAAAATGCAATGCATTAATTATTTGGACAGATTGTGATCGTGAAGGAGAAAATATAGGATTTGAGGTCATTGAAGTCTGTCAAGCAGTTAAACCTAATATTCGTGTATATAGGTGGTAGAATAAACTATTAATGCATGATAGGCTATTATTTTATTTAATTGTAAATGTGTAACTTTTTATAGAGCAAAATTTTCTGAAATTACACAAGCATCTGTAAATAGAGCTCTTCAGAATCTGATAGATCCAGACAAAGCAGTCAGTGATGCTGTTGATGTAAGAAGTGAATTAGACTTGAGGATAGGTAATTAATAGCAGTGATTCAATCTACTTTAGAATTAATCTATTCATAAAGTCTTCATTTAAATTAATCATTGTAGGTGCTGCATTTACAAGATTTCAAACACTGAGACTTCAAAAAGTGTTTCCTAGAAGTCTGTCTGACATGTTGATTAGTTACGGTAGTTGTCAGTTTCCTACACTAGGTTTTGTAGTTGAAAGATATTTAGCAATAGAAAGATTTAAGCCAGAACCATATTGGAAAATAAGCGTGACCGATATTCGCGATAATCTTTCTGTGGACTTTAGATGGGCAAGAGGAAGATTATTTGAGAAACTACCTTGTGAAGTTTTTCTTGATATGTGTCTTGAACAGCCTAATGCCACTGTACAGAAGGTATCATGTAAACCCAAGAGTAAATGGAGACCGCTTCCATTAGACACAGTTGTAAGTAACATAGCAATCAGTTGAACAGCAGGGATGTTACAAAGTTTATCCACTGTAATTAAATAATTCTAGGAACTAGAAAAACAAGGTTCTCGAAAGCTTCATTTAACCGCTAAAGAAACTATGAGAATTGCCGAGAAATTATATTCTCAGGGTCTAATCAGTTATCCGCGTACAGAAACAAACATATTTCCGAAGGAATTAAATTTGACTCCTTTGGTAAATCAGCAAGTAAATCATCCAGCTTGGGGTAATTTTGCACAACAGTTGCTAGGAAAAGGATTAAATCCTAGGCAGGGGAAGAAAAGTGATCAGGCACATCCTCCTATACATCCAACAAAATATACTGATAGTTTAAACGGTGCGGATACAATTATTACAATTATTTCATTTTTATTTCATTTTAATTAAATATGATTAATTATCTTATGATAGGCAACGAAGCAAAAGTTTACGAATTCGTTGTTCGACATTTTTTGGCTTGTTTATCGGACAATGCTGTCGGTCAGGAAACATTGGTAGAAATTGATATAGCTGGAGAAAAGTTCATAGCTAACGGTCTGCAAATTATCGAAAAGAACTACTTAAACGTATATATATATGAAAAATGGAGCGATAAAGAAATTTACCAGTACCAAGAGGGACAAGTATTTAGACCAAGTAGTATAGATATGGTACAAGAAGAAACATCGCCGCCGCAATTGTTGACCGAAGCTGACTTAATTAGTTTAATGGACAAATATGGCATCGGTACAGATGCAACTCACGCGGAACATATTGACACGATAAAGTCACGTCAATATGTAGGTGTAACTGATGGAAAATATTTAATACCTGGCAAACTTGGAATTGGACTGGTGATGGGCTATGATCTTATGGGGTTTGAAATGTCAAAACCAAATTTAAGAGCCGACTTGGAAAAGGATCTTAAACTGTACGTTGCCACTTTATTATCATTTATCGAGCAATACAGAAAATGTTGAAATTCTCAAATGAACATCTTTTTGTTCGTAGGATATGCGATCGACAAAAGGATCCAAAAGTTGTGTTAGAAGCTCAGATAAATACGTATCGTGAGGTGTTTAAAATAGCAATGGAACGTGCTAATTTAATTGACAGCGCCTTAGCTGACTATCTCGATGAACAACCGGCAGAAGTACAACAGATGGAGAGGATTAATCCACCTGAAGAAACCGCTATCTTTAAGTGCCCTAAATGTGGTTTAAATATGGTCCTTAAGGAGAAAAAAGATAAGGCAAAATTCATTGGTTGCATTAATTTTCCAACTTGCAGCAATGCAATTTGGTTCCCGCAGAATGTTGAATCTGTTGAAGTTCTAGACGAAGTTTGCTCTCAAGTAAATATAATATATATTAAGAATTATTAGTAACTGTTATACGATATCTAATGATAATGTTTTCAGTGCCCGGGAGATATGCGTAAACTAAAATTCAAGTTATCCAGAAACGCTTATCCAATTTATGGTACTTCTTATACAACTTGCATAGGGGGCTGCGATCCTATGTTCAACGAATTATTGAATATAAAGAACGAGAGTATTAAAGGCATCTCTCAAAGAAATGAAAGTGGTTACTACAGTATGCCCGATGAGACGAGATCAGCTATCATTCTAAATTCAACCGTAGTAAGACCCGGAAGTAGTAATAGTCGAAGTGGTGGAAATAAAACAAATTTATCTAACACCAGTACGTCTGTAGGGCTCGTTCGAAATCAAAGTAGTAACCCTAATACGACGAGTAGGTCGAATAGTACGAGTGTTAAAAAACAAATTGCCCCAAAAAATAATACATTCGTCAACACTAATAATTTTGATTCATCGATTGTCAATCCAAGATTAGCTGAAAATGAACCGAACAGAACTTGGGGTCATATCGATAACGATGCCGTTATTATGTGTAATTGTCATGAAAATGCGATTCAATTAACCGTCAGAAAAGAAGGGCCAAACCAGGGTACAGATGATTCTCTTTTTCCTTTTGTTCTTTTTAGATATTTATAATGAATTCGATAGTGTTACTGCTTCTTGACATGTTTTAGGAAGATTATTTTATAAATGTGCAAAGCCTCAAGGCTCTGGTTGTGATTTCTTTCTTTGGGCATCAGAAAGTACAAGTCAAACTCCAAATCATATAAGTAATAATTCTCGTCCACCATTCATTGCAAATACAAACCCTGGTCCAAGTACAATGTCATCAAATGATATTAAATGTCATTGTAATCAACCAGCAAAGCAGTGAGCAAATACTTATAGTAAAATTTCTTAGTCTTTCTTGATATCTTGATGATATAATTCATAATTTATGCAGGCGCACTGTACAGAAAGATGGTCCTAATAAGGGGCGTTTATTTTATTCGTGTCCCAAAGGCATGAGCGATTCTTGTAAATTCTTTCAATGGGCAGATGAAAATAGCGAGAATTTTAACAGTATGCCTACTGATAATAATAGAAGAACAGCAACTAGAGGCAGGGGACAAGAAAATACGAAGAAAGGGTCTCGAGTTGGCACTGGTAAAAGAAAATGCGGAATTTGTGGAGTAGAAGGTTCGTATTTTATTTGTAGAATGATAAGCATTAAAAAATCGATGTTACTCATATTGGAGTATAAAAATTTATGTCCAGGACACACAAGAAAAACTTGTCCAGAAAATGTAATGGATTAATGAATGAAGGTTTGTAAAATTTTAAATTTGCCTTATATTATCATTATAAAGTGTACATATTGGAGTTGACGTACGTATACGCGTTCGCGTACCTTGACGTGAGGTATTGTACAAAGGAAGTATAAAGGAAGAAATAAAACACGAATTAATTTAATAAATTTTTATATCAAGAATCACTATCTTTGTTATAAGATGAATTTCTTTTTAATCTATCTAGTTCTTCCTTCTGTGAGTTGAACTCTGCAGTTGATTGTGTTAACTGTTGAATAAAAAAAAGTATTAATATAAGAAATAAATATGAAAGGTTTTATAAACATTTAGTAATTTGAGTAAAAATAAAAATTAGTTACCATATCCAGGAGTACTTCAAATTTCAGTTTCAGTAAGTTGTTTTCTTCTTCCAGTCTTTTCATTTCTTTCTTTAGTTTTTCATTTTCCTTGTACGTTCCTCCAATCTTGCCAGATTCTAAAATAATAACATTTTTATTCGATATATCGTACGTGCTAAACTTGTTTAGTATAGTAGCGACGTTTTACCCGGTATCCATACACCTGACTCAAAAACAGTTTCCTGTTCTCCTAATTTTAAACGTATGGGTCCAATGTTCGGTCCAAGTTCTTTTTCGATACGTTTTGGGCTAAAATCTTTATTTGCTAAAAAGATTCCTGCCTTTCTGGTAGGCGTCTTTTTTGGGGAAAACTTATTTGAAAATAATGGCATTGTATTAGCTACTTAATAGCAACGTGTTTCGCTGTTATAATGTACTCGAAACTTGTGAAAATTATTTCTTACATATTATTTTATTGAATAGAGTAACATGTTTCATCGGTATTTCGTATATTGCATAAACAACGCGTAAACGTCGATACTGACACTACAACTTCGATAAAATCACTAGGATAGGGTTGATGAATATAATTTTACATTTTTCAATTATCAAATCGTTCTCTACTTTACCTACTTTCGAAATTTCGGTCAGTAAATTATCGAGGAGTTTCCGCCATCTTTTAGGAGATGGCACAGCGGTCGAATTTCTGATTAGCTTACCGATCATTAGTTTTTAAAAATATTATGTAAAATATTGCTATTTAACTGCATAATACATTGCTAAAATGGATAGAAATTAATTATACATACATAAAAGTATTTCATTATACTGGAAATACTTAGATGTATTAAAAATGTGAAAGGGAATATTGAAAGTAGAAAGGGAAAACATGAAAAAATGAATTAACTTGCTGTAGTTTCAGGATGTTAAATATTTTTAAAATAGACTGTATGTATATGTATAGTGTGTATTTGATATAAAAATATTTAAAAACATTATTAGTTTTTACACGTATTTAATAAGTTAAACTTTAAAAATATTGAGAATGGCACATATTTAGTAAATTAATAGTTTTTTTAACATAAATTACTGATATCAGCCTTTGAATCTGGGCTCAACGAGCTCCAATAAGTATTAATACACTTCTGTAATTTTAATTTACTTCCAATGTTACTATTAACATTACATACTTTGTCAATTTCATAATGCTCTTCTACTAACTTGTCTATCCACTTATCCAAATTCGAATTAACATTATTTTCGTCAATTGCGGTATAAATATTTCGTTCGTAAAAATTGATGGAACTTAATAAATGTGACCATTTTTTATTCGTTTCTTCGGTAACATGATAACTATCTCCAGACGCAATATTTACTTCTTTAGTTTTCTCTGTAGAGATTTTTTTATTTTTCCAATATCCCAAAGGAGTGACCAAAAAATTCATTTTTGCTATTAATAAAGAATCAGTGACCAAGAACAAATGCCAAGTACCCACAACCAGATGGTCGCTGAACTGTGGTTTAACATATCCTGCCTGAAAACAAACATTGCATTAATCATCCAAAGAACATTAAATATAGAATAACTAATTGAAAAAGAAATTACTAAAGTTGTTTCTTCCAGTTGTATGTAATTAACATCCGCTAATCTACCATAGGGATCCACCCATAATATCGATATATTTTGTGGTGTCATAATTCCAGCATCGAATTCGTACCACAAACCTGGGTACGAATATGGTCCTATACTTCCCATTAAGTTTCTAAACATTTTCTCTTTTTGATCGTAATCAGTATTAACTGATAAACTTTGTATCTTTCCCAACCACTCTCGGCTAGTAGAAAAGTTACGTCGTAAATATACCAAACCTTCTATTTGTTCCACGTATTTTTCTTGAGTTAACGGTTGTACCGTAGCTTCTGCTAGTATTAATATTCCAACAAATTGATTGTGACTGAAATAGGCAGTAGTTTCCAAAAGGCGTATATTCTTGCAGTCAATGTTCAGCTTACGAAAAATCAATCTAGCTAAAGAATTTGAAATAGTTAATTGCGCGTCGTCGGTCAAAGGACTTAGATCTGCTGTATGGTACAAATTTTGCCAATAAGCGTCGTAACCCTTTGCAGTGACGGTCCTATTTATTTTCTCCGGATACAACCATTCTTCAACTCTGTCAATGATTCTTTGATCAATGACAGGTTCAAATTTTCGTGCGAAAAATAAATTGCGGTCAATCGTATTTCGAATTCTGCTAAAATCCTCAAGCTTGAAATCATTCGGGCTACAACCACACCAGTCTACTACAGCTTTATACTGACATTTACACCCTAACTTTCTTTTCCAATTAGTAACATGTAAATTGTTATCAATATACGTATTACAAAATCTTGAGTTACGTAAGACCGTATGGAAAAATGACTCGGCGGGTAATAAAGTGTATTTGAATACTTTTAGTAGATCGGTCACTAATTCATCAGGATTTTGATTAGCAACATATTCTACAAATTCTCTGCTTAAAGCTACCCAATCGCTACCACCGTCTATCTGAATACCTATAAAGAAATGACAATCATTTATAAATTAAATAAGGCAAAAAGATGATAAAAGTAGAGAGTGAAAATTTACCATTTGGTAATTTACGATCGCCTATCCTCCACATGCGAGTTTCACATTCGACAAAAGTCTTATCTAAACCTTGTTTCGTGATGAAACGTTGAACTTCTCTTCCATGAGACTTCACAAAATTCATCCCTTTATTCAGACTAAGGAATTGAGTTAATTGTGCATTGTTTTTGATAGGATAATCAGATTCCGATAGATTGACGAGAAAATCCCAGTGTTGATTATGCTCGAGCATTTGTTGGGCAGATTTCAAAAGAGTCGTCAATAGACTAGCACCTCCCCAGATACTTGCATGTCGTAGATTTTCTCCTCTTGCCACTTTAATGTTATTCGTTTTGCAAGACTTCTCCACTTTTAACATTTCTCGGTAAAGATAATCTTGACGCTAAAAGCATGATATACATTAGTTACAATAATGTATTAATTGTAAAATGTATTCATCTCATTACCGCGTCAACATGAATGTAAAATAAATGTGTAGGATGATAGAGAACAGTGATAAGTCTCTTCACTTGTCTACTGGCTCTGCCGTTTACTGTTAATAAATAAGCGATTCGTGCAGGTTTTTCATTTTCACTGTCTGTACTTGCATTTCTAGCTTCCTGTGCTTTAAATCCTGTTAATTACACAAACTTGTATTATTATCAAAAGTTAGAATTGCATTGGCAATTTTTTCTGTATATTTCCTTACTCTGAATTCCAGTCAAAAACACATTAATAGTCAAATATCCACCGCAGGAATATTTTGGATTACCGGAACATTTCATATTGCAACTAGAATCCGGTAATCGTTTTAACTGCGACGGCTTTTCCATTCCACAAAAGCATTCAACTCTGAAATTAAATGCTCATTACATCAGGTTAATTTAAGGAAATTGATATATTTTATCGGTACACTTACGAATATTCAGTACCGGCGTATAAATATCCTGATTGAAGACACAGAAAAGCACAGCGCTCTGGTGAATTGTTCCCTTTAAAAATATGGTAATAACCAGAAAGTATTCTTAACGTTTTATCATCTTTAAAACATCCTAAACTGACTGGTTTATTTGTAAATCCTGGAGAATGAGAGCATAGAGACTGTATCCTTTCTGGGTATAATAATCCCTGTTGATTAAGGCAAGTTGCATTGACAATGCTTTGTTTGCATTTTTGACTTTGTGCACGTGTTACAGCGCTCACTGCTTCTCTGCCAGTAAATTCGCATGGTGGTGTAAAGTTTAATGATTTATGATCTAATTTTATTCTAGTAGTATGGTTCTTCTGAGATTGTGATACTTTGTTCGAATTGGTATGTTTATCCGGTGGAAGCTTCAATTGACGAAAACCTTTTGGTAAACCTTCATCTTCTTCGAATTGGGATAAATCCTGTATGAAGTAAAATTTATGTTACAATATAGTAGATTATCCTTAGCATTATTATTAAGAAACTTACTTCTCCTGAAGACAGTTGGCTGTTTTTTCGATTTCGAATTTCCAGACCAAAAAATGTATGTGCCAAATAAATTTGTACACATAGTACTGTAATACCGAATGCGAAAAGTATTCGGTACTTTCGTAAACAACTAGAAGATCGACTTATCGAATGGTTTTTTGTTATAGCCATTGTTCTTGCGCTTGGTAATTCAAATGAACCATACCCTTCGAATTTGATTAATTTTATAATTGTCATCGACCAAATGACAGGATAATCTTATACAAGATGTAAGGAACATGTTGCACTTATATATTATACATACAATGTTACATTCACTGTATTACCATTACTTTATATATATTTATATAAATAGTTGGAGCAGTAATAAATTACTGAAGGACAATTACAAAATGTAAAATGTAGGTTTGATAAAATATTTTGATATGTATAAATATTTATTGAAATAGTTACACGCGTTTATCTTGCTCTCAGTTCCACCAGGAGATATAGGCTTAAAAGTTTAGAAAAGAAAATCACGCGGTAAGACATTATTTCAATTGGTATTATTTATTGCTACAAATTAACAAACATATATACATAAAAATCTATATATTGCATCATAACGATAACTTGTCGCAACGATATTTCCGGCGAATTCACAATCAATCGGAAGGGTCAACCTTATAAAGTTGATACTAGTTCTTTTTTCTCAACAAGAGAATCACGAAATGTAACTATACCGCAGGTCACCAGAGTCCATAACTGCGAAAAGACCAGTTTTCGTTCTTCGCGCATCTCCAGTACGCATCTTCGCCCTGATTGGCGATACTCCCAAACGAAGTGGAAAGCGATTAGTAGAGAGCTCGCTGCGTTCCCCCACCATCTTCCAACCTGCGCGTCGCAGTTATGGACTCTGGTGAACTGCGGTATAGAAATTCTTTTACCCCCCAAAGAATACTTATTGTAATTTACCCATTGCAGTTATATGTAACGAGTGACGATTGTTTTGTGTTAATATTGTTGTTTTGTATTTTTATCTCTTTTCTAATCATTTATTTTATCGCTGTTTTGATACTTAGGAAAAATGCGATACTTTTTTATAAGATAAAGCGAACGATATATCAGATTATCTACTTATAGTTCGGAAAAATTAAAAAAAAACTCATGTCGCAATCGTCTTCTCGAGATTGTGTTGGATCTTTTATATGTGTATCAAGTATAAAAAGATGAACAAAGAGAGGAGGAAGGAAGTAGGAAAAGAGGGAGAAGGACGGAGAATGATAGAGGGGGACAAAATGTCTGCTGATCTCAATATGTTTACTAGCAAACGTTTACATGCAACGTGACATGCTTGACATTGTTCAAGAAATGACTGATGAAATGATAGAAAAGCAGTGGCGTGATGGCCGTATCGTTTAATCGGTATCTTATTTTACCGGAAATCGAGAAGAGTGAGTTTAAAATATCACAAGAGAACAAACATAAATACACGGATGAAAATACAAGAAACTCATCAAATGAGCAAAAAACCTCCGTGATACCGGCAACCGTACCCTTATGTGTCTTGGGTGATGTCCAGTTACGTTTCCTTTGCCCAGATGATCTGGAGGAAGTACGGGCACTCTGTCAAGATTGGTTTCCAATTGGTATGAATGTTTCCCACCAAGTTTAAATAAATGATACCTTTACGAAAAGTAATTATATTGCTTCTTGCATGTAATCCTTTTTGGTTCTTCGTTTATTGTTTTTACATTCCATCGGTGTAAAGATTTCTTAGCTCTCAGTATGATTTTTACTCTGTGTATTGAACTAAATTTAATTCCATCAACATAATCATATATAAATGAAATTAAAACTGAACCAAAAATGATTAATTACTAAAGGTATTGTAAACCATTTTAGTAGATCATGAGTGTGATTGTACGTTTCATTAACTTTATATTAAAGATTTCTTTAATATGGATGTTAAAGTATTGATTTATTTTGCCATAGATTATCCTTATTCATGGTACGAAGATATAACAAGTTCCTCACGGTTTTATGCACTTGCAGCTGTATACGGCGGAGTAATAATTGGACTTATTGTTGCTGAAATAAAGCCTTATGCCAAATTGAACACAGAAGATCGTGGTATTTTGTGTTCGAGTTTAGGAAATGATTGTTTAGTGGGTTACATTCTTAGCTTAGGTGTGCGTCGTGCGTATAGAAGAAATGGAATTGCTTCGTTGTTACTTGAACAATTATTAGCACACGTTACCGCTCCGGAACGTTCTTCCGTAAAAGCAGTCTTCCTGCATGTATTATCCAGCAATGCACCGGCTATCTTATTTTACCAAAGATGCCATTTTCGATTACATAGTTTTCTCCCGTATTATTATTTGATCCATGGCAAATGTAAAGGTGGTTTTACGTATGTTTTGTACGTTAACGGTGGACACGCACCATGGGGTATATGGGATTGGTTGCGTCACATAGCCAGCGCGATGGCTAGTCTTGGACCGTGCAGAGTACCACGTTGGATTTGGCAACGGCTTCTTTGGGCTACTACTATTCTTTCATATCATAGATGATACTTTTCGATGGCATACCAATGTTAAACCAAATACTTCCTTTTTTTTGCCTTATTCTTTTTTAAACACGCGTATAGCGTAGTATATGCCAATTTGGATGTTACGCCGGTTCAAGCAATAAAATTATTAGCTTCATCATTGTTTTTTTACAATTTTACGAATAAAATCATTTACCGCTAAAGTGACAATACTTAAATCGATGAACATTATTTTATATTCGATTGAGGAATATTATATATTTGCTCCATTTTATAGTTCTTTCACCATGGATTATATTACAAAGTGATTCAGTATCTTAATGTTTAAGATAAATAATATGAATACATTAAAGATAAAGCGTTTAACTGCCAGAGAATTTGATCGGTTCGAAAACGAACGTTTTTTATTAAACACAATGTTTGTGTGCCAGGGTTCATTATACGAGATATTCAGAAACAGAATGAAGCATTGGTGATGGGTTAGAACTTCTTAAAATACCATTCATTTTATTGAACATTTTGATACATATTGTTTTAATGATATGTAGCATTGTATATTTCAAATCAGTAGCATAGTGAAATTGTTACATAATTCTAGTCAGATTGATTGACTTTTGAAATAGCTTTCTTTATTGTGTAGATTTTGTTTTCTTGTTTTTCTACTCTGATTTTTATTTGTTCTGCTTGTAACATGATTTACCTACTTATTTGATTCTTAACTTTAGAAAATAATATTTTCATGTACCTTGTTTTAGATCATTGATCAAATGATGCTTTTTCTAACTAAAGATATGTGATTCTGGGGCCATTACCCATCACCAGTTCAAATACAATTAACAACACACTGTTCAAACATCTGTCTTATTACTAGTTGAAAGATTCTAATGATCACAATGTGTAGTTACATAGATGCTGAGACTGACATCATTTTTACTTAGTTTCTTCACTGCATACTCATGAAAGCAATCATTTTCTAATCTATCAGTTATCATTCTTCATCCAGATGTTACAGTTACATCTCTTCCCTTAGCATACTGTCGTATTTTGGAGTATATTGTACTCCTTTTTGAAAATTATTATTATTTTAATTGTATAGTCAAAGTTCAATTTGTTGCAGAACAAAACAAAAATCTTTCCAGTGGGTATATTAAAATATATGAGATTTAATTACAGCTTTTACAGAAGCAACAAGCAAGACTGATGTTCTTGCAAATAATTTATGATATCCAAATAAATTTTTGATATGATAAAATAAAAAGTTTTGTTGGATATTAAGTGACCATGGATATTGTAAATTTTGTATTTTAATAGGTGAATGTGCAATATGTACGCATTTATTTATACTTCTATGCGTAAATTAAAAATAAAGATTTATGTGGAAAGGAAATTAATTCAAAGTTTAACAGTAAAAAGTAAATTTATTTTGAATGAATATTACATAAAACAAAATCAGTATTTTCCATGGTGATAGAATAAATTAAGTTGCTTCTTGTTTTAGGCTGTGCATGTATTCTTTCATTGAAAATATTCTAAGACATCATTTGTATTTCGTAATCAGCTGATAAAAAGAAAAATAGCATTGTTTATATTTATATATTCGCATAGAAAAAGCTTTTGTATCAATGATATATATGAATGTGAGTCATGAATGTGTGCGAGTCTTATTTATACATAATTGTACATATATATATTAAATGTATCAGAGTAGTGTACATACTAATGTATTGACTTTGTTTGTAATAAATTGACATGTTACAAGTTTTGTTTCTTCTGAACTATTTTCACAGAAGAAAGACTTACAATATATGTGCAATACACAGTTACATATAGAATATGAAGCTTTACACATATAAGAAAAAGTATAGTATGCATTAGTATGCATGCACATGTGGTATACACAATGGTGGCATATATGACACATTCACAGTAAATAACGAATTACTGTTTCTATTATTATATAAAATAATACCAACATTTAATATTATTGAACCTTCCTACAATTTTAAATTAAAATACAATAAAAAATGAAATATTATTATCCATGTTCTTGATATGGCCAGTATAACCTAATATCATCCTATGTAATTCTGCAAGAATAGCAGTGACAACTATAAATAAGTTGATATTAAGTTGAAAAAAAATTAGAAACAATGAATTTGCTACCTAAAACACACGAGGAATTTAGCCAAGTCGACTACTGGAATACATTTTTCAAGAAACGTGGTAAAAAACATTTTGAATGGTATGTTCTGATTGTACTTGTTGATAAATATAAATTTCTATTAATAATCGTTATTTATCTTTCTCTTTCAGGTATGGAGAATATCCAGAATTATGTAGCCTACTTCTAAAATACATCAAAGTAAAAGATAATATTTTAATTGTTGGTTGCGGTAATTCAACAGTCAGTATGTGTCTATACGATGCTGGTTATAGGTAATTTCATTTTATATTTAAACTATAAGAGTTGACTTTGTATATCATGTCATAGGAGAAAAATGTATGACCTATATTGTTCATATACATTTATGTAACTTTCTTTTATTTATAGAAATATTACTAATATTGATATATCTCATATTGTCATTAAGCAAATGCATGATATTAATGCGTCTGTGAGACCAGATTTAGTTTATGAACAAATGGATGCTACTCGATTAACATATTCAGATGATACATTCAGTGTTATATTGGATAAAGGTACTTTAGATGCTCTTATGCCAGATACTAAAGAAGAAACACTATCCATCATTAATAAATATTTTAAGGTATATTTATACATATAATGAATTCATTTTAATATAGAAAAGAATGACTATATATTATTATTATTGCAGGAAATTTCAAGAGTTTTACGTAATGGTGGTAGATACATTTGTGTCTCATTACTTCAGGAACATATCTTAAAAAAATTGCTATCTTATTTTCCGTATTCTGGATTTATGTTTCGTATAGTACGTTGCCACGAGGCGGAGGCAAAGACACGAATAGAAGAAGGAAGTTCGATTCCAGTTTTCGCAGTGATCGCCACAAAATTTATTAATCTACCTCAAATTGTAAGCCTTTGAGTAACAACATAACTTGGTTAAATACATAATTAAAACAGAGTTTATTTAATCGGTTTATAAAATAAATAGGTTCTGGAAGTAGCATTAGTCGATGGTCCTCCAAAGCGATTATCATCAGTAGATGACATGGTGTCAGCTATTTTATCAGTACAACAATCGGCATTGATTTGTAATAGCCTTCAAAAGCGTAGCGTGGCCGATGTTGGAGAAATCTCATTAGATTTACATTATCCCGATGATAAACATCCACGTTATACAATTTACGTTTTAGACCAGCCTAGAATTCGTGGCACAAAAAGTTACGCGGCATTTATAGTGCCGCAAGGAAAGTAAGTCTATAATGATTCTAGAGAACTGTTTATTATCAGGATAGAAAATAATTTTCTCGTTTTTTAGGGAAACGGATTGGTTATTTAGTACCAAGGAAGGAAGACAGCAGGTTCTTAAAAGCGCCCAACAAGATAGACTTGCTATCGTTACGTTACGCAGAGAACATAAATTTGATAGTTGGGATGCTGTGAAAAGTGAACTGGAAGAGTGCATTTTAAATCTAGCACCCGAGGGTTTATCTGGTAAAAGTAATATCCCATTTTTGTCGTTGGGTTCAGACGTGGGTGTTAGAAAGACGTGTTACGAAGGGAACAGTGATTTAAGCGGTCCTTTTGTTGTGGAGGAGATCGAGAAAGATGGTTGTGAATTTAGGAGATTGATATTCTTAAATAATCCTTATGTAATTCAAAGTGAAGCTCGCCTTAAGCAAGGTATGCAATTCTCTTATTATGATTATACGTTTTAAGCATGTCTCATACATGAAGTATTATTTTCAGCTAAATCCAGACGGGGTAAAATGAAGAAAATCATTGATCCTGGATTTTTAGCATGCGATCATCATTTGTATATGAGCATTGGTGTTACTGCTGCTATAAGTGTTAAGGAATGCGATGAAATCATGATCATAGGACTAGGTGGAGGAAGTCTATGTACATTTCTGTACAACTGTTTTCCTAAAGTATGTATATACACCCTTGATGATATTAAAAGTATCATTTCTATAAAATTAATTTTTATATTCTTTCCAGTTAAACATCGTAGTGGTTGAAATTGATGATGCGATGTTGAAGATTGCTACTGAGTACTTTGGTCTTATTCTTGATAATAGAATGAAAGTTGAAATTGCGGATGGAATTAGGTTCATCAAGGAGAGCGCAACGAAAGGAAGGAAATTCAAAGCTGTACTTTTCGACGTAGATAGTAAAGACACCACAGTTGGAATAAGTTGTCCGCCTAAACAGTTTTTAGAAAGTTCTATTATAAAATCAGTCGCTGATTGTTTAATGGATGGTGGTTTTTTCGTTTTGAATTTAGTCAGCCGAGATCAAAGTATAAAGAAGAAAGTGAAAAACGATCTTAAGTCTGTGTTTAAGTCCATCGCGTGTTATTCGGTGCAGGACGAGGTAAATGAAATTGTAATATGTTCGGTAAATGAAAACGATACTGTTAGATGGAAGAGTAAATTACAAACAGCTGCCACGACATTAAACGAACAAGTGTCTGTAAGAAAGTTATTAAATAATGCGGATACAATTGATTTATCATCTTTCATGGAAAACTTGTGCATAGAGTCATAGTTAAAAAGATCCTATTTAACTATCTGCATTTTTGTACATAGTAAAGTGTCTTTTATAAAAGATCTCTCATCCCTATTTTTATTATGAGTATTTTGCCAAGAATTTTCATGGTAGAATGATTCTCGCATATTTTATAGCTCTCAGAAAACGTCACGTGAAAATAGTGTACAAAGCAGAGTAAATAACGTTCTGCGACCCTTCATGTTACGATATGTTTGATTAAAAATCAAAAAAATGCGAGCTCGGTTCACGACATTCGCATGTTAGAAAGATTGCGTGTTATTAAAGTAACGTTAATCGCGATGAACACGAAGCATTATCTTTTATACAGATTTTATAGTTGTCGCATAGTGTATATATATATATATATATATATATATATATATATATGTATAGTAAGTAATAATAATTAAAAGTGTATCCTTCAAATCTAAATATCTGATTCTAAAATCAGTCATTTAATAATTTAATTTTAGATCAATCGATAATGTCGGTAATATCGATAATGCCAAACGTCATAGTATCGATACTAATCATAATCATAATCTGACTTTAGTATTATTCGATCTTACATGTCGCTTTGTCATTACAACGAATATATTTTTTGTTTTTACAACAGCTTTCACGTTGTTCATCGATTTTTTTTAATAGCGTTATGCAGGTAGAAATGATATTAATAATTGTTTCGTGCGGAGTCATAAGTAGGATCGTGGTAACACATCGTTAAAACGTCGAGCAAAAGCGAGTATAGTTATCTTTATTTTTACAATCAATGATGACCCACATTATCAGCTGTCGTTTAACATTCTTTTATCGACTTCTTTCCATTTATTATAATCACTTTTGCGGAACAGGCTTGTTGATCAGTATTGAAATTTACGAGGGTCTTGCATTATTCATGTCATTTATTTCAATACGGTAAGCAATTAAAAAAGGAAGAGAAAGAAAGTAATGTTTATAGAGGGGTATGTGTGAAAACATTAAAGTAAGATGTTTTATGATAGGGGCATGTAAATGAAATTTGATTTTGATCAATTATTTAAGCGACAAAGAATATTGAATTTCAGTACTTTTTCTCATATTTACGATACTTCGAATTTATACGACCTTATCTCACAATTTATCTTTTATTATATTGCACCAGGAAATTGAAATTTGAAAATTGAAACGCATGTGCAAGATTTTTTTTACAAATCGGTCAAAAGCATACACGACTGAACAATTATTATTGTTATTGTTTGACAAACTTGTATTCACCTCATGCAGCTTGATAAATAAATCATATTAAAAAATAAATCATATTATTATTTAATTTACCTAATTTCATTTCTGAGTTATTTATTTAATGTCTGAAATTTATTTTCTCAGTTATTTATTTGATTGACTTAAATTCTTTTATAAGAGCGCCGCCGGTTCAACGGGGTCCCTGAAACCCCAGCATGAAACCAGGTCGGTATGCAGAGAGCGTCGACGGTGCATCGGGGTCCCTGGCACCCCAGATACCGTATTGTCGGTATGTAGAGCGCCACCGGTGTTTCGGGGTCCCCAACACCCCAAGGTGATATGTCGGTATATAGAGATGGCCACAGATGCATCGGGGTCCCTGATACCCCGAATACCATATTGTCGGTATGCAAAGAGTTTCATTGGTACTACGGGGTTCCCAACACCCCAAAGTGATAGGTCGATATACAAATAGCGCCACAGATGCATCGGGGTCCCTGACACCCCAGATACCATATTGTCGGTATGCAAAGAGTTTCATTTGTACTTCGGGGTCTTAGACACCCCAAAGTGATAGGTCGATATACAAATAGCGCCACAGATGCATCGGGGTCCCTGACACCCCAGATACCGTATTGTCGGTATGCAAAGAGTTTCATTTGTACTTCGGGGTCTTCGACACCCCAAAGTGATAGGTCGATATACAAATAGCGCCACAGATGCATCGGGGTCCCTGACACCCCAGATACCGTATTGTCGGTATGCAAAGAGTTTCATTTGTACTTCGGGGTCTTCGACACCCCAAAGTGATAGGTCGATATACAAATAGCGCCACAGATGCATCGGGGTCCCTGACACCCCAGATACCATATTGTCGGTATGCAAAGAGTTTCATTGGTACTACGGGGTCCCCAACACCCCAAAGTGATAGGTCGATATACAAATAGCGCCACAGATACATCGGGGTCCCTGACACCCCAGATACCATATTGTCGGTATGCAAAGAGTGTCATTGGTACTTCGGGGTCCCCAACACCCCAATGTGATAGGTGGATATACAAATAGCGCCACAGATACATCGGGGTCCCTGACACCCCAGATACCATATTGTCGGTATGCAAAGAGTGTCATTGGTACTTCGGGGTCCCCAACACCCCAATGTGATAGGTGGATATACAAATAGCGCCACAGATGCATCGGGGTCCCTGACACCCCAAAATGATATCGTGTCGATATGCAGAGAGAGCGACCGGTGATTCGGGGTTCCTGACACCCCATGATGATATCAGATCGGTATTCAGAGAACGGGGAAAGCGGAAAAGCATTAACCAACCCCTTTATTTAACTTTTTCCAGTTATTTATTATTTTATCCCTCTTTATAGGTCAAAGCTCTCCCTTTTCAGGTTTTAATTATTTTATGCTTTTTATGAGCAAAGACCAACGCTTCCTAATTATCTATTATCCTACTCCTCTTTATGGACCACGGCCTCCCTTCGCAGATATTTATTTCTTCATTCTTTCTATGAGCCTTGCAAGGACTACCACTAAATCACTATATCCCTATATCCCTTGTATCTCAGTATCCTTATAGCATTGCATCCCTCACATCACTACCTTCCTTACATCACCGTATCCTTTACATTCCTGAGTTCCTTATATCCGTGGATCCTTTACATTCCTGCAGCCCTTGTATCGCTGCAATCCTTAAAAAATATATATTATAAATATAATATTTATGGTTGCTGGTTCGAGTAAAGGTAAGTAAAGGTAAGTAAAGGTAAGTAAAGGTAAGTATCCTCGTGAAAAACAATTTTAAGTTTAAATTTTCGTGTAAATTTAATTCCTTTTTTCGCCACCAGAGGGCGCTGATTCGACTTTGAAAATTTAGTTCACATTTTTCCCGCTAGAGGGCCAAAATTTGAGCAAGCTTTAGTTCCTTTTTTTGAAACCAGATGGCGCTGATTCGACGTCGAAAATTTAGTTCACATTTTTCCCGCTAGAGGGACAAAATTTCGACATGATTTAGTTCCTTTTTCCGAAACCAGATGGCGCTGATTCGAGGTCGAGATTTTAGTTCACATTTTTCCCGCTAGAGGGCCAAAATTTCGACATGATCTAGTTCCTTTTTCCGAAACCAGATGGCGCTGATTCGAGGTCGAGATTTTAGTTCACATTTTTCCCGCTAGAGGGCCAAAATTTCGACATGATCTAGTTCCTTTTTCCGAAACCAGATGGCGCTGATTCGAGGTCGAGATTTTAGTTCACATTTTTCCCGCTAGAGGGCCAAAATTTTAGCAAGCTTTAGTTCCTTTTTTTGAAACCAGATGGCGCTATGATGTGATGTCAGGATAAGGGATGCAAGGATGTTAGGGATGCATGGATGTTAGGGTGGCAAGGATGTTAGGAATGCAAGGATGTTAGGGATGCGACGATGTTAGAGATGCAAGGATGTTAGGGATGAAAGGGTGGCAAGGTTGTAGAGATGTAGGGATGTAAAGGAAGCAGGAATGTAAAGGATGCAGTGATATAAGGAATGCTGAGATGAAAAGGGTGGCAAAGTTGTAGAGATGCAGGGATGTAAAGGATGCAGTGATGTAAGGAATGCTGAGATGAAAATAATGCAGGAATATAAAGGATGCAGTAATATAAGGAATGCTGAGATGTAAATAATGCAGGGATGTAAGGGGTGCAGAGATGTAACAGAATCAGAGATGTGAGGGATGCACACAGGAATAATAAAATCAACACGTTCTTTCTACTAATGACTTTATTCAATAAGCGGAAAAGATAAATACAGCAAATTAAATGAACGCAGAAAATAAAATAAGGGAATATGTATGTTTAGGAGGTAGATATGCACCCTTCGGCGGTCGCTATAAGACTGATGGTGTCTCACCTCGCTCTAGATCGATTGGTTGATAACGGCGCCGCAGCCAGCTACCTTTGTACCTTTATTTACCCAACGGGGTAAATTATTAAATTATATTAGACCGCCATTTTTCCTACGGGGACCTCCAGGGGTAGTCTGGGACCCCTAAAATCTTGACCCTTCGAGAACAAAAGCATATCCAGTCTTCTTGTTATGTGTAGTCACTGGTGAGACGCAGCAGGTGGCCATTTGCTTTCTGGACACCGGAAAAATGTGTAACGACAAACTTTCACTACTTAATGAGACGTTTATACAACGAATGACACAGAGAAGAAAATGCCGGCAGAACGTCCATCTTAGAATAATTATTTTTTAATTAAGAGCGCCTGCAGACTTTCGCCGCAAGATAAATGGTCGAAGAAGAATAACGCTTATTGGTCATTATGATTAGCGCGAAATTTGGAAATGGATATAACAATTTTCTTTAATATAAAATAGATTGTACTTCGCGCATCATGATGCTAAGAAAATGCTGAAGGAAACTTGTACGTGAAGTTTTAAAATAATAAAATCCAATTTGTTGGGTATACCAGGGTCGAAAAGCAATTTACAATGAAATTCATGGAAAGCAACAAGCCAGGATTGAAAATCAATGCGCACCGCCGGTTTATTACGAGCTCCCATTTCGGCTCGTCTTTTTCAAAGAATTCCTGCGATCTTTTATAATTATTGGGAGTCTCTCCTCGTGAAATTCGTGGTTCTTCGAGTCATGACCATACCAGAACTATGTTACAGCTTATTCTGTATCATAACCGAGGTTTACGCGCCTCTTTTACCATCCTAACCTCCCTACTCGCGATTAGCTGATTGCACTTCATAACAGAGACCGTCTCCGTCTTACTATTCCTTCTCTTTTTAAGTATTTCCTTCTAAGAATACCTGACGGGTATCCCTAGAATTAGTTTTAGACGAAATCTTGTATGTAAATAGAATTCGATCATTTGTGTAAAGGACAAACAAACCATTAGTGAACACTTGACACCGTGTCACGGTGTCCCCGAATTTTCATTTTCCAAAGGACCTTTTTGATTAGCATAAAATAGAATACCGAAGGCCACTAGCTTGACATCGATTTTAAGGTGAAACTTTCGAAGGTATATCCCAAACAACCCTTAGACTGACGAATCTACACAATGAAAGTCTTTAGGGGGTGAATGTAGAAAAGTTAACACAGGTGTTTTGTTGTGCTAACAACGTATCACGTTCCAATTGATTTCTCTTCAGAAATAACAGGGAATCGTGTAAACGATGCTTCTTATGCAAAATAGTTTGCTATTAGAAAGATTTATAAGCGGCATGTTAAATAACGTGAAAGATTATTTAACATTTTTCCGTTCCTTTTACATAATTTTCATGACTTTCGTGTCCCTAATCGTATTCGATAATGTCTTTTGAATTGTTAATGATCTAGCTATGTATTTCCATAGAAAATATCCCATGAGGGATTCTTTATGGAAAATGCTCTGTTTGCTATAATAATGGAGCTAGCCGCAAGTTTGATACCAGGGGGAATCGAAGTAATCGTGTGACACGCTTTCACATTGTGTTTTATAAACCCCTGCGGACGGATTGACCTCAGGGGAAGTAATTACGATAGAAAAAGCGTATTTCTGTTTTATCTATTAAAAATTTAAAATAGCAAAAGTAGAAAAGTCAATAAGAAATGATTAATTGCCACTAAGTTCAAATGAAGCTAGTTGATAAATCAGTATTCTAGAGAGTAGCAATTATGACTGGAATAATTCACGAGTGTAGTATCATAAATGAGGTCGTAAAATTT